GGGTTTCCGCCCTAGATGTAATCGGTATAGTGCAGCTAAGCAGACACACACAAGTCGCGGTTTTGCTCAGAATCTAAGGGAGTACAGAGCTCGTTGCAGAGCTTAGCAGCGATAATGTCTGCTCTTGCCGGGGACCCAGGTATTCTACGCAGCACAACCGAGCATTTATTCAGCTTTCAAGTGCTCCCAACGAAGTCGCCAGCATCGTTTTAGGACTGCTTCTTGTCATTGTATTTTTTTCTCTCGCTAGACTCTATCGACTTTAGTAATGCAACAATTTCTGGGTGCTACCCTTCGTGAGAGTCTATTTGGATGAGATTTTAGTGGAGTAATGCCACAATTTCTGGAAGGCCTACCCTTCGTGAGAGTCTATTTGGATGAGGTTCTAGTGCTAGCAAACTCATTTGATGAGCATTTGCAACATTTAAAAGTCGTTCTCCCAAGACTGCATGAAGTTGAAATAGTGGTCCATCCAGAAAAAAGCAACTTGTGAATGACTGAAGTAAAGTATCTCGGATTTTTAATAAGCTCACGAGGAAAAGACCCTCTTCAAAAGAAGGTGGATGCAATTTTGAACAAAGATTGACTGAGGAGCATACGAGATCCCCGTCAGTTTATTGAAATAACTAGCTATTACAAGGGTATCTGGAGAGGGAGATCAGAAACACTAGCTCCGCTTACAGCGCTAACGTCTAGCAAGCGACCCTTTCAGTGGACAGCAAAATTCGATAAACCCTTACCCTATGACCGTTTGCACTACAGTACTCTGTATTCTTTTCTTCAACTTCAAGAGCGCCGATTTTCATCATCGTCGCCGTGCACTATGGCTAAGCACAATCAGCCCCGGGGTTTAAGAATAACAGGCGCGCCAAAAACCGTAAACCTTGCCGATGCCAAGCGGCGCAGAACACAGCACAGCTCACCCATGGACACGGGTACCTCAATCTAAACACCATAAGTACGGCATTCAATATGCCAGCTAGCACCAGTGGCGACAACACAACCACCACCGCAAACACCAATGTCAACAACAGCGGAGGTGAAGGAGGCTTGAGGTGCGCTTCATGCGAAGATGAAAAGGGACAGAAAGGTCCACCGTCAGTGGGGAGGCGATTGAAAACGATCCGTTCACGCTTTCCGACCGCAGAAGGGATTTTTCACTAAAACACACTTGGTCGCTCGTAATGATGAAATGACGTTCGATTTTGTTAGACTGTCGAATAGCTGTCACTTTATCGCTTTCGCCAACCATCCAGAAGTATTGGAAGTCGTGAAAGGGTCCATTATTGCTGATTGTCAGACGAAGCTGAATGAAAACCGCATTGGGAAGTTGAACGGCGAACAAATGACGAGTGAAGATTAGGCAGAGAAGTTAACTCAAATTGAGACACTCCGTGGACAACAGCTTGCAAAAAAAGAAAAAGAATTTACGAGTGCTGGAAAACAAATGCGCTACTTCAGAGAGTCTGGTGCGAGGTCTACAAGACCAATTGACGGAACTTGAAGTGTACATCCACCAGTTGCGTGAAAGTAGCAATCTCGATCTTCTACAAGCGGACCGAGCCACCAATCTCAACCAGGTGCCGGCTCGTTTTGAAGACAGATTGCGGAAACATCAGGTGTTTCTGAGACTCATGGAAGCAAAATTAATGATGCGATCAACCCGTTTAGACGCCAAGCAATTAAATCTACTAATACAAACGAACGAGTTAGCAAAAAAGCGCTTTCGGTTCAACCATCATATCAAATTCAACGAGATACTGAAGCAACGTTGTTAGGACACGTTAACACAAGCGCGAGATGAGAAAGAAGTTTGGGAGCTCCACCAGCGAGCAGTTCGAAAAAAATTGGACCGCCTCGTCAAGGCACTGGACAAGAAGAAAGCCTAAAACGGGTACGCCGGTAGTTGCGGATTAAATACACCAGCTCAGAGTTGCTGAAGGATCCCGCCTTGCGGCACAAGCGGCTCTCGAAGACGCTAGATGCACTAAATCGCAACAGGCAAACAAGATTAAGCTGGTGCAAACCCAGCTTGTATCCAACATGGTATGTGGATCGATGAAGCATCAAATCGAGCTGTTTGCTTGGCAGAAAGCAGATCCAAACTACGGTAAGAACGGCACAAACCTCTCTTCCATTACCGCATTCTATTTTTACAGCTGATACTTTACACAAGGACGATGTATCAACCAGAAGAAAGTATTTTTTTGCGGTGTAAATGATGAAACATTTTGAGGGAAAGTCAAGTGTTGAGCGATGACGCGCTGTTCGATTTTGTGCAAATCCGCAGTAAGCGATGTCACGGCCAAGAGGATTCCACTGCTGCCTGCATCGAGCACGAGGCATTTCAGTATATGTGCCGCAGGATTTATGATATTTTGAGCTTCTTGCAGGTGAGTAAGCATGTTATTTCGCTATATAATTGATTTTTCATAACACAGTGATTATTGTAACTATCACAGCATTTCGCCTTGAAATAATGAAACAACGCGATAGTAATAGTGTACGTACTTCTTTTTAGGGGTTTTAAATCTTAAAGACAACTTAACGGCAAGTAAACATTTTAGTAGTCTTCGTTATTCTTCATGATATATATTTCTTTCTCACTTTCACCCCACATATACATGTAGCTACTTGTAAACGTTTTACACATTAAATCCATACATTGGTCGAATAGTTTTGCTTCTCAACCGTAAACGCTGGATATAAACCAGCTAGGACTACTAAGTAGATTAGTGGATTTCAACGGCTGTGCTAGCCATCGCCACTCGTCCGTGTACTTATAACCAGACAACCAAAGCCCCGTTTTTCGCCATCGACTTACGCAAATTAGGCGCCGTAGTCGGTTAAGGATTCTCGCTGTCACTTCTACCGATCAAGCAGACTTTTTGCCACATCAGACTCACGTGGGCAAGCACAAAGTAGATGCTCATGTGCGAAGCAGCACTGGGAGTATAGGTTTTGTCAACACGATTAGATGTAGAGCTGCATCGCTATCTTAGGCAATGGAAATTCTTGATGCGAACGAAATGGCATGAAGTTTTCTGCATCCAGACCGATATCGCTGAATCATGCTGATATTATTAATGCCTCGTTCATGGTAGCCACTCGTAACCTGGAGGCCAGCCGTATTTTTAAATTTGTCTACGTGAACTGCCATCAGATGGGTTTTCATGATAGATTGTTAATATTCACAGTTGGATGTGAGAAACGGAATAGTGCACGCGAAGGGAAGCGAGCTGCGAATTATCATTTCTGAGGAATGTGTATGGATGTTGTAAGGCTTTTCAATGACGAAAATCAGCACGGTCATTCTCAGCGCGGTAGAGGGACAATCGTATCATAGCAATTAAACGCAATATTTCGTTCACGAGTCAGGTTGAAAATTATTTAGAAATACCAGGCTTATTATCTCAGTAAGTGTCAGTCCTGATAAGCTGACTGCTCATAATAGAGCGACACGGAATCTCGGGGCTGGGGAGCCCTTTACGACGAACGAGAGGTGTCACAACAACTCCATCTTGGCAAGTTTCCCCTTCCGTTTTCGGTAGTATATGCAAATGCAGGGGCCCTCGCAAATCGATCCACCGTTATAACGGATGCATGACAATACTTTTGGATCCACTGTAGACCGGATCCGTTGTATTATGACCCACGCTCGTACTCGCAGCAACGCAAAGACGATTACGCGCATTCGACGTAATATCCATGGATATTTATTATATTTCAAAGCACGCTTGAAATCACCACCGCAACGCGACGCCAAGCTCTTTCCTGATAGATATGGCTACAGCAATTGCTGATCGAATAGTTGGTCATCTGTGTCGTCTAGGACTGACTCATACATCGCTTACGCAGCGACCCCCAGTCTAACGCATCCCAACGTGTTTTCCAGTCACTTCGGTTTCAAATAATATAAACCATTGTCCGTTTCCTCCGTTGCACATCTGCATAACGATGCACTTAGTGAGATGCCTATCGTAGTATAGGCACATTATGGCGATTTAAATTCTCATAAAGACTTGTCACGCAATGGTAACCCAACGAATTCCTCAAACGATCCGTAAACGAACAAATGCATTAGCAGTTACACACAAAAAACATGCCACTCGAATCCCGCACGCACTTTACAAATTCTATCCGCTGGTAATATTTACATATCTCTGACATCGTGGCGCGTTTTCTTCGCTCCCAACGGGAGCATATAACCAAGTGCCTGCATACTCGAAAATATTTTTCCTCGCAATGATCTCTTCGCAGCTATTAAAAATCGATGTCACTAAAATCTCACACCGTCTCCAAGACTACTTCCGCTGATACAAATGTAAACGCCTTCATAATTGCATGTTTTCTTCTATATGTATGTATAAACACTATCTTATCGTGCACTTTTTCTTCTGTATACATGTATAAACTTTATCCTCGTTCGTCATTATCTCCGCCCCTAGCATCGTCACCTGAGACTCGTTCAGGTATGCTTGAGACGGCAAAGGCATTTCCCGCCAGCAGCTATGATCCTTTTCGACATCGAAGCTATCCTACTCACGTGTTCTCTAACTCGATCGCCATACTCTCAGCAATCCTAGTCACCGGGCTTGCTCGTCGACAGCAACGCACTGACCGCGATTCCAGCAGCTTGACACCGATTCCAACAACCATTATCACGACTACGACGGTTACACCTGCTCAACGTGCTTGGCTCAGAATATTTCATCATGCCCGGCTTCCGTATCGGCCCAGCGAAGTCAGCCCCTTGCTTTTCCCTACCGATGCCAGCATTCTCACCAACAACGTGCCTCATGTCGGTGTAGGCTACGTCTTCAAGGACCCTCAACCGTGGCCACACAAGGTGTGTCATCTAGATAACAATCTACATTGCCTCTCGCTCCCTTCCAAACTACGGAGAGAGCATCCAGTTGTCACTACCCGTATTACTGTGTTCGAGGGTCTGCATTCCAGATAACGGGACCCAACTAAAAAGTGACTGTGCGAATGCCGGAATGAGCCTGTGCGGCAAAACAACAGGCTCCGTTGGACCGAGCTGTGACAACCGCTTCGAGTCCCACTACACCCTCGACTTTAGTAAAACCCGAGTCGGCCTCCGTTTCGTTTGCAGCTCTTCCATTCCAAAAGGCACTTTCAGCATCGAGTATCTGGGTAAAGTTATGTGGGAATATGATGCGGTGCAACGAGACAGCCGGCGCTATCAAGTAGAGAAGAAAACTCAAGTTTTTTGGTGCGGCGCCTCGACCTTTTTCATCGACGCGGTTGACTATGGTAGCGAAAGTCGATACATCAACCATTCGTGCAAAACTTATTGTGAGCTGTACGACTGGGAGTGGGCTAACACAGTCACACTAGGTATTTTCGCAGCAGAAGACATCCCATCGGTTCAGCGCTGACATTTTGTTACTGCGACAGCAATTTGGAGCTCCTCACTTGCCAATGCGGTGGTACAAACTATGTGCCAGACGCCGGATAACTGAATTAGGCTCCGTTTGGGCTAGGTTGTACATGGTAGCTCTAGTTAAAGGATATCCAGCGCCACTAAACCCCTTCCATTTGGCTGATTTGCCGAGTTTTAAATGCATATGCAGGATGATTTGACTTGGTGTTTGTATTCCTTTGCTTGTTGCAGAGGTGGGCTACAAACCGTCTGGAAATATAACCTGTGCAAAATGCATATTAAACGGCATAGTTTGCAGCTATTTCACGGATCTAAACTGCATTATTCATGATACTGAGGTGTTATAGATGCTAGCCACCCATTATATGGTCATGCACCGCCAAGCGCGTATAGACGTGCGACTAGTAATAGAGAAAGTAACTCGTAAGTTTTTGGGGGATTTACAAAACTTCATACGATTAGGAAAAAAAAATGATTTCATAGCAGCCCGTCGCGATCGAACGATGTGTGGCCTTTGTCAATACGGAAGTCAAGTCTTCATAACATCGGGAGAGGGTACCCCGGCTCTGAAATTCTAACGCAAGAAAAGAAGTCTCCATATTGGGCTGCATTCGGATGCCATTGCCGCATCCCACAACACCTTGCCAGGGCTAGTACATGGCAGCAACGCGTCAAAAGAAATACGTAATTGAAAGCGTGCGTATTCAACCCGTATATGCACTTCGAAATGCGGAGTATCAATCCATTTCATGTCTTTGTCGTTCCAGAGCTCTTTCGTCACTCGCGGCGATAATAGGACGCTTTCGAGTACACCGGTCCTGGCCTGATGGACGCAGCTTTCCATTCTTCCTCTCCTTGTACCACACGTCAAAACAAGTCATCATTACGCGGCGGTTGCTTGTCTTTGTCGCAAGCACAGGTAAATGCACCCCTTGGCATCACAAACAAAGAAGTAGTATGCCGTTGTGCGTCTTCGTATCCTCGTTATTGAGCAGACTTTACATGCTCGTTGTCGACGATTGGGCTGAGTATCCACATTTTGCTACTCGTCTACTAGCGGTGATCAGTACCATCTTGCCAAGCAGCTTGTACATCAGAAGCTTTTATTGCTTCTCCAAACGTATTGCCCTCAACTACTTTCGACTCCTGTAGCAGGATTAGCTGCAAACGTAGTTTCTTGAAGAGCGGGACGTGCGTCAGAGGTTTCGATGACTTAAACTTGTGGAAAGCTTTGTGTATGATATATCAATTTACTATAGTCGTGTCAATCAACCCGAGTACGAGACCTATGTAGTGCTTGCGAAATACGATCGATGCAGTGGATAGCTCTACAAGCGCAGCTGGTCAAGCATATCGACGCCCCCCATAAAGCGGTGATAGTCTTTGATAGCCCTGGGGGTGATGACCTCGTTCTGCTCGCCACTTTTGTCTCTCCTTACTACGCTATCAAGTTCAGCACTGCCACCAGTAGCCACTTAATATATACGGCTTAGAATCCATCCACCAAATAGTTTTGAGTCCCGGGGCCTTTGTTGAATCCACAACCTTGCATACCTCTCGACATTCTAAGGTCTCGACTTCGACTTGCTCACTACTTATTGCAGTACCCAACGCGATTAGTCATGATTGTGCCAACACAAAAGAATTTCATAAGTAGCAGCCGGATAGTGAGGGCTCCCGACGTGTAGAAATGATCAATAATGAAGAGACGCTTGCCAGCGCCAGCAGGTTAATTTCCAAGAGCAGCTCGCAGATTGCGAGCAACTGCCGCAGGGCCCTCTTTCTTTTCATGTTTGTGCTGATCGTTTGAGGTTGCTTCTTTTCACAATACACTGCGAACCTGCATATATATATGAAAAGAAAGTTGCATAAGTCATCTGAGCTATGCAGCATAAGAAAAGTAAAGATTTCAATTAGTTGCCTGATGCAGTACGCTGTCTGTGTGCAGCGCAACATGAAGAGTTCGTGCCCCATTGGTGCGGTTTTGCCTTCATGTGCATCTTGTTCAGGCTGCTTTAAGAGGATGGCCTTGTCAAAGAAGAGTTCAGCAGGCGGGATATACCCTTCTCGAAACGTTTTCTGCAGGACCTCCACAATTTTCCTTATCTTCCAAGCTCGGTCCTTAACGGCACGCGGATTATCGTTGATATTGAAGTGCGGCTAGCGGCAGATTTCCATAAATCGGCCTCGCGACATCACAGAACCAAGGCATTCCACCCTCTGTGGTAGTTTTTCAATGACCTGCTAGCTCCTAACGATTTGGGGTGATAGTCCGAGCCATCAACATTCCGACAAAGCGGCACAGCTCACGACGTTTGATTGGAGCGACACCTAGTACACCCTGGTAAATGTCACGCCTTATTTTCTTCTTGAAGCTTAGGTTTGCACGACACCTCTTCTAGTGACGCTGATAAGCAGAGTCGGCACGCGCGGACAGCATGTCGCGCTGGTACTTGTTTGAGTAGACTCCGATATGCCAATATGTTGTCATAGTGTCACTGGCATGAAGAAGAAAAGGAAAGCCATTGGAGAGTCACCGCGAAGCAACGCATCCGACGTAGAGCCTGAATAGTCATTCAGCAAGCCAGGATAACTTCCAGTATTCTCGACTGGAATTTAGGGCTTTTGCGGCTCTTCGAAGACATCTGGTTCTTCAACGGATCCCCACCCCGCTGTAGCGAAGTTTTTCAAAGCTTCATTATTAAGGTAACCAGCCAGAACCGCATCTAACCCTCTAAACTCGCTCACAAATTCCTCTGTCAGCAAAAGGTTCACCACATCTTGCTCTTCGTCCTGTTCACTTTCGTCAATACCACTAGTAACTGAAGACGAGCCGTCAAGATTAAACTCCACTTCGATCACCACGTAGTCCTCGGCAGCTTTGTCCCCAGAATCCAGAGCTCCATAGTCCTCGATATTTTGGCACGCCATCGAATCATTCAGGTTGTCATCCGTATCAGCAAGAACGTCTAAGGCATGGACACAACACAAAATTAGCTTATTTTTCTTCTTTAGGTTTCGATAACGTGCTTTTGCACAATCAATATACTGCATATGCGGCTAACCTGCAGTTTCGTTTACCGATTGCTAGCAGTACCATCGGATTCACCAAAGGACCAGCGCTCCCCTCCCCACTACTCGACGTATCTGTAGGCGGATCGCATTTATCATCATCGGAATCATCGTTGGCATCTACTTGTCCCGTGCATTAACCGTTAGACTGCATTTTGACGACTTCATCTGCACTAGAATGTACCCGTTTGGCTAGATGAACCCGTTTGGCTGGATGAATCTTCACCATCGGAGTCAGGCGGCACGCGAGCTGCTGAAAACAGAATAGTGAATACAATTACGCTACATACCATAACGTGCATTTGTAGTATACTCACATCGTCGACAAGAACGGTGTTTTGGAGGGAGAAGGGGGGGGTGCTTTCCTGGTTTCCGGGGTCGTGTAGTGGTCGACGTCGAGCGCTGTATCGGTGTACCGGATTGGATGAACGAAGGCTGAGTCAAAACAGACTGAGACGCTGTGGACTGGGGTGCAGCAGACTGGTAAGACGCATTCTGAAGAACCGAGGCCTGGGGCCGGCTTAAAGCAGGCTGGAATGACACACGCGGAGGCGAGGCACGGTGGGGCGCAGTAGGGGTGATTTTGGACTGGACTGTCGAGGAGTGTGTCCCTCCCGTGTTTGCAGGACGGCGTGATTCTTGACATGAATCAGAATAGGCAATACTTATGCACTTTTACTTCTCATCAACATGTAGCATCGAACTTACCCGCAGCGAAATACCCCACCAGTTCTTCCGCGTTCAAAACGTAAGTGACTTCTTTTGTGCCGTCTGGGCTTCCACCCTGACGCACGTACTTCCATTTGCTGTCCAGTTGAGCCAAATTACGACTTGGGGGATGGACAAAAACCATCCGTCCTTCTTCACCTCACGGCACGCCACTCGAAATGGCACAGCTTCGTGGCTCACCTCCCCGTGGATAGCAACCATCGCGTGGTATCCTTTCAGCTTCTCTCCCCGCGGCGCAAAGTCTCGAATGAGTGGATGGCTGGGCAGGGGGAAACGGTACCTGCATAACATAATAGTAGTCTGATGTGTACTACGTAACCCTTCCTTCCTTTATCTCTACTTTGAAAATTATTAACTGCATCGTCGCTTGCTATGAGTACTGTCTACAACGGTGCATGCGCATAGCGTGGACGCACATAGGTTTATATTTATATTAATGTTTGTAAATATCGTGATTAGCAATAAAAAAAAGGGAATGCAAACTTAAAAATATTTTTTATATCCTGCATTATGCAGGCTAATCGTTTTGCCTATAGTGCATTGTACAGGCCTCCGCTATGAAGAGGTTAACCCCTTTAGCAGACTTCGTGTGAAGTAAGCATTTAACAAGCTCTATATGTGGGATGAATGTGAGATACGAGTAAGACCAAATACATTGTGAAGCTCTAAATGTGGGATGAAAATGGGATACCAGTAAGACCTAGCATATTGGGAAGAATAGCGAAGTCAAGTAAAGTACTTCGGTTGTTCTTTATCGCATTTTTTTTATTTCGATCAGCGCATTACTGATCCTGCCAAGTGTCTGTCTCCTATCGACTTGTGCCTGTCGCTTATCAACTCGTGCTAGCGTCTCCTGTAAAAATATTGATCGAGCCTCATCTTCGAAACAATCAGATCATTGACCAACAACGCCTCTGTGCTTGTCGACGCTGTGGTATCACACATAAAACATAGAAACATTTAAAACGCTAGAGAGGTACCAATAGTGTACTATTTGAAGTTTGTAGCCCAAGTTGAGCTTCGGAAAGACTTTTATAGTGAATACGAATGATCTCGTCATAGCAAGTTGCACCGCAATAGTCATATTTAGTGTTGTTAGATCATTGGACAAAAGGTAGTACATTGTTACCTCTAACAAAGTCATAGTGGATACTTAAGCATTTTTCGCGCAAATCATTGTATTGTATCACTGCA